TAGATGTACAGCTCTTTGCTGGGAGTCTGACTTCACGGTCCTGGCACAGCCCAGGAGAACTCTGGGACTGAGAACCATGGCATCCATCACACTGATCAGCCCGCCACCTTCTAGGGCTAGAGAGCCCCAGGAATGGACCTAAATGGCAGCTTGAAGGGTTTAAGAGCCTCTACTTTAGTCAAAACCTAAGCCCACCTAAAGGTCAGAGGGACTTTAATTTGGAAACTCAAGTGACATATGTTCAAGAGTGAGGAATGACTGAGGCCACTTTACCCCTGACGAGGCCTCTCCTTACCTCTGGCGCTCATTTCACCTTTCCAGCTGCACCTAGAGACATTGTATGTTCTAAGCAGGCTCATTAAGACCTGTCCTTAAGTTGACACAGACGGCAATGTCTCCGAATGTCACGTGTGTTCAGCAAGCCTGCTTGCTTAGTATAAAGCCCTATTTTTAGTAGGCACCAAAAAAACTCAGTTACCTTGTCACAGCACCTTGTTTGTCTTATGTGTTTACCAGGCTGTGTCCCATATTGGGGTTGGGGGCCGGGCAAGGGGAGGGACCACACCTCATTCATCTCTACACCCACAGGGTCTGGCACAAAACCAGCATTCAGTGTGTTTTCAGGAAGAATGAGGCCTTAATTGTCCCCTGTGAATGGGTTAAGAGCAGGTGTTCCCCAACCTGAAGTGCAGGTGACATTATGGAGTGGGCCACAGAAGGGGGTACAACTACCTCTGAGAACTGACATTAAATGCACATGATGGGGGTGAGTGGGGAGGCAGCGCCCATAGGGAGGGGGTGTGCACCAACAGCCCCCTGGAGTGTGTGTGTGTGTACACATGTGTGTGTGCATGTGTACACATGTGTGTGTGTGGCATCTGTGGCTTTTATCAGCTTTTCGAAGGGCAGTGACCCAGCAATTTAAGGATCACAGGAATAGACTCTACAAAGAAGCCATCAGGAAGAGCCACTGGAAGGGTCAAAGCTGGCGCCATACTTTTTAGCCAACCAGGAATGGAAGGAGACCACACCAGACCTACCAAGGCAAGCCAACAGCGAGCACTCCCAGCATGTCTGTCCCCACTGTCCCCAACACAGTACACAAGTTATCTGGCTGGAGGTGAACAGGCATTCCCACTGCACCTGTCTCTCCCCCAAGGTATCACAAGCTGGGAGAAGTAAGAATCCAAGAAATGAAAACATGCCCAGGGAATTCAATTTCCAAACCATCTGCTGACTGCAGCACCTCTCTCACCAGCAGCCAGGACCCCACAGTCCCATCTCCATTTTGTCGTGATACACTTGGCCATCTCTTCCACTGGGGGGAAATGACAGTGTATTTTACACAGCTCTGGGCAAATAAATTTGAAAACCCAGAGAGATGAGATGAATAATTTCTTAGAAAGATGCAGTTTACCAAAACTGTCTTCCGTAGAAATAGAAAGTGCAAACAAGTCAACTGCCACAGGTATAACAGAGAAGCCATGGAGAAACAACCCCAGAGAAAGCAGCGGGGCTCGATGGGGTCACAGAGATCTGCCACAGCTTTAGAAAAAGCAACCCAAGACACAGAAGATGTTCCCCAGCACAAAAAGGGAAGGAAATCTAGTGATGACTGTACGTATTTAAAAAAAAGGACATTACAGACAAAAATCACTCATGAGTACTGCTGGAAAAAGTCTAAATATTATCAGACAGGTGTTCCGCAGCAAGAAAACAATACAGTGGCCAGCGTAGCTTAGACCAATCTTTGCATGAGCCCAGTGGAGAACGGGCCTCAGAAAATTAAAATCACATTTTGCCATAGACGCTAAAAACCCTTTGATGCAATTCAATTCCCACTTCTACTGAAATGCTCAATGACGTAGAAATGGATGGACACTTCTCGAACATAATATGCATACATCTCGATCCTGAACCAGCACTCAAGGTTCCCCCTGCCAGGTCAAGAGCAAGGCAAGGATGTCTACTGTTTCCACTACTGTGCAGCGGTCTACCAGAAGTGCTGGTCGATACAATCGGACAGAGGCACAGCGGGGCCACTTGCTCAGTGAAGGCAGGAGCTGGGTCGTACCTTCAAGGGGTCCCTAGGAGCTAACTCATTGCTGGATGAGCAAATGAGTAATAGCTCAGACTGAGAACCTCTCTTAACAAGCACAAGGGCTCAGGAGCGTGCTTAGGGCCTGTGTTAACTAATAATCGCTTAAGTACTATTACTGCAGCCATTTTACAGATGAGCAAACAGAGCCCCAGAGAGGCTCAAAGACTTGCTCAAGATACCCTCTTTGCATTTCAATTCCATCCTCACTGTGGTCCCAGTCACCTGGCCAACGGCTTTGTGTAGGACACTCATCCAGTGGAGGAGTGCGACGCTTCCCAGCATAGTTCAGAGCCCCAGCTCTGGGGCAGGCTGCCCAGGTCCAGACATCACCTCTGTCACTTACCAGCTGTGCTTTCCCAAGAAAATTACTTCACCTCCATGTGCCTTCCCATTCTCCCCTATGAAATGGGGGTGAAAACAGTGCCTGCTAGGCTCAAAGACATGTTACCATGTGGTTCAGCAATGTCCACTACATATTAAAGGTCCAACCGCCCAAGACTTTCCTAAGTGCCTTCGTCAACTCTGACTGTGACATCTGTACCGTCGACGCGCCTTTTCCTTCCTTGGTTTTGCCAAGCTTGTGACCAAAGCTAAGGCTAACACTCAGTAGTTCCACCTTGCAGAAGCAGAGAGGGGCCTTGCCAGAGCCACACCACACCTGGGGCATCTCACACTAGCCTTCCAACACTTAGGAAGTCCCTTCTCTCCCCAGCGGAGCTGAGTCTTCCACTTTCCCAGGCATCGTCTCACCATGAGATACCTGAGCACGGCTCTCTACTACCTAAGAGTGGCCCAGGTGATGGAGGTCAACATTAGCTGACAATATGGGAAGAAGGTCACTGTACCTCCATGACCTTCCTCCTCCAAAGATCCACAGCCCTATTCCAATCATGAGAAAAATACCAGAAAAACTCAGATCAGAGCCGGGGTAGTGGTAAATGCCTGCAATGCCAGCACTCAGGAGGCTGAGACAGAAGGATGGAGAGTTCTAGGCTAGCCTGGGCTACATAGTAAGACCCTTTCTCAAAGAAAGAAAGAGTGAGAGAAACAGTGAGAGAGTGGGTGGGGGGAGGGAAGGAAGGAAGGAAGACAAAATTGAAGGGCAGTTTATGATCTATCAGACCAGTGCGCTTCAGAGCTGTCAAACTCATAGAAAAACACAAACATTCTAAATCTGAAAACTTATGAACTTTAGTTAATAATGTCATCATTATTGGTTCATGATATTATAACAAATGTAAGATGTTAATTCTATGAGGAAATCAGGTGATGAGTATATGGGAACTCTGTTATCGTTACAATGTTTCAATAAAACTGAAACTGTTCCAAAAATAAAGTTTATTATTTAAAAAAAAAAAAAAACAGATTCCAGGGCTTTCCCCATGGTCATTAAGATACCCACCTGGTGGCCACTGAGCACCACTTGCCAAGAAAAACTATAAAAAATGCATCCCAGCAGATTTGGCTTGGAAACTATTTCCCCAGAAATCCTCACCCTCCCCCCCACCGCTTAAAAAAAAAAAGTGAGCTGATTGTGGATCTGGGAGGGGCATATTAATTCTCTGCCAAACATGACTTTAATCTTGGTGGACAGAAACACCAGTGATGTTTGCATGGATCATTCGCAGATTTCTAATTGTATCCTTTCAAAGCCAATCATACCCTCCAGACTCAGACTCTACACAAGGCTCTTTTTACTGCCTAATTATTTCCATCTCCAGCCAAAGAAAAATCCTTGCTCATCTCCTGGGACCCTGGTGAAGGTGATACCCAAAGTCAAAGCCAGCCCCTCCCGCAAAGGTGGCCAGGCAGGACACTGACAGGAAAGAAAGTTAATGCTTCTTCATTGAGCTGCCTAACACAGCGTCTCTGGGAAACTTGGAGCCACCAAGTCTCAGCCACAGGCCTCCTCCAGAGCCAGAGCCACAAGCCCTTCCTACACACCCTGCACCAGATGCAAGCAGAGCATGTGGAAGTCACCAGCAGGCTGGCCTCGAGCCTGCCGCAGGCATGGCTGGATTGGGCTGTTGAATTCAGGAAGCCTGCTTGGGTTTTTTTTGTTGTTATTTTTTCCAAGACAACCTGCTAACCAGAAAAATACAGTGAGCTTGGGTCTAGGGCCTCCTCCCCCTCTGACTAAGGCTCTTGTTGAACACGTGAAATGACAGAGGAGCAGCCCGCCCAGCCTGGGGAAGTCCCCAGGCCCCAGGACAGAAGGCACAGACCGAAAGAGTTCAGGCAGCAAACGCTTGTGTCTTCCCTAACCCACACTCTGTTCCCCCAGGCCCCATCCATCAGGACTGGGGGTAGATGACTTCATCACCTTCCAACTGGTCCCCTTGCTGGGGCTCATAAACGCAGCAGAACCCAGAGAGGAAATGGGCCGGCCTCTCAACATCGAAGTCAAACCGCCCGGCGCATTAGACACAGTCAGGCTCTTCCTTGGTTTCTACAGTCCCCAGCATGCACGCTCACGGGTCGCCTGTCACTGAAGGCCTGGAGCGCAGAGCGCAGCCTCCCCCCGCAGATCACTGGGCCCAGTCTCAGCCTCCTGGCATCACCTCCAGGCCTCCTCCCTCCGGATGCAGAGAAATCACTTCCATCCCCTCTCGCCTCCTGCCACCCCAGCCCAGCCAGGAGACCTGCCATCTTTTGCTTTCTAACGACAGTCACAAGTAACTAGGTACCCACGCCCCTATGGAGCCAGAGCGAGCCTACGCCTCCTAAGGGTGGCAGAGGCCACTGTGGTCGGCTGCCCTCCCTCTCACCCGGGTAGGGACACCCCCCGCCCAGGCCCCCGAGGAAGGGTGGCAGGTGGAGCAGAGCGCGGCCCTGCGCCCTGTCCCCAGGCCCGCGTCCCTACCCGGGCTCGGGGGCCAGCGGCGGAGCCTCCACCGACCTTGGAAAGGATTCAGATAGTCATAGTCGAAGAGGATGGAGAAGTCGAACTCGTCCTGGGGGCTGTCCCCGGGCTCGGGGCCGGGGGCGTCCCCGCCGTCGGGGTCGGGCTGCGGCTCCGGGGCGTCCATGGGCGCAGGGCGGCGGGCGGGCTGCGGGGCTGGGGGGGCGCGGCTCGCTCCGGGGCCCCTCGCGGAGGGTGGCGGGGGCGGCAGGTCTCCGGGCGACGGGGTCACTCTCCCCGTGGGGACGCACGCCGGGCCCGGGGATGGCACGCCTGGCGCAGCGGGTCCTGGACGCTCCCGGAGCTGAGCGGCGGCGGCGGCGGCGGCGCGCGAGCTTCCTGCTCCGAGGCACCTGTTGCTGCCCGCGGAGGGGGCGGGGAGGCGGGGACAGCGGCCAGGCCGGCGGGGGCGGGGCCGCCACCCGGCCCGAGGGGGAGGGGCGGCTGGCCCGCGGGGCAGGAAGGAGTCGCACTGCGCGGGCACCGCTCTTAGCGACCGGCTGGGCCGCCTCCCACCTTCCCCTGTCCGATCCTGGGTCTAGACAAAAAGCGGCTGCCACGGGTCGTTTCTGCCCTAAGGAGCCACCCAGTGACCCTCTTCCTCCGAGAGCCCGCGTTTCCACGAGCCCACCCTTGCATTCATTGCTTCCTGGCCACCTACCACTAGCCTGGGTTGGGACCCCAGGAAGCAGCCACTGTTGCCCTTGGGTTCTGGGACGGGGGTGGGGGGCCAGAGATAAGGGGACAAAGGTGATCACACAACTTCGGGTGTCAGGAGAGACCTCTCCAGGGGCCTGGGAAAAGGACTCAGTCCCTTGGTGATGAGGCAGGGCCTCACCATGAACCTGAAGTGTCCTTGTAGTGAGACAAAAAAAAAAAAAAAATAAGGGCTGAAAGGCCTGGGGGTGTGGGAGGCAGAGCAGGAGCTGCCCGGCTGCGGGAGGCTGGCAGGCACCAAGCCATCTGGGTGCTGCTTTGAAACACGGATGACTCTAGCTCCAAAAATTACAAGCTCAAGGATATGTGCTTTCAGACAAGCATCCAAGCTGAGTGTCATGAGCAGGTGTGATTGGCAAACACTACAGGAGAACCCAGTGCCGCCTAAAACACTGGCAGAGGTCTCTGCACATTTCTGAAGGGGAGAAACACTCCCAGGTAGAAAAGGAGATTGCATGGGGGTCCTCATCCCTCAGGGCCCGTCAGAACCACCTGGGACATCTTTTAAATGCCCAGGTCCTGCAACCATTAAAACTCACTGAGCCAAAATGTCCCAAGATTGTTTTTTAAAAGACTTCTGGTGACTCTAATGTGAGGCCAGTGTTCGGGATCAGAAGGTTGGGTGGAAGCCAAGTGTGGTGGCCCACCCCTGTGGTACATGACTGTAATCCAGGCTACTCTGGAGAAGGAGACAGGACCAGCCCTGATAAAGTTAAAGGCCCTACCTGAAAAACAAAAAAATACAAACAAAAGGGCTCACGACATGGTTCAAGTAAGTTCCATTCCTAGTACTGAAGGATAAAAAAGAAAAGAAGAGGAGGAGGAGAAGGAGAAAAGGGGAGGAGAAGATGGAAGAGGTCCTCAGTGCCAGATGTGAACTGTGGCCTGACCAGAGTGGCTAACACCTCCCCCTCCGCCCGCTGCCATGCCAGGAAGGACTTGAGGGGAGGGGGCAGTGCCTCTGCTACCTAAGGGGCTCTGTGCAAAGCCACACATTATCATTCCACAAAATAATCACAGAGCACCTGCCAGGCACTGGCACTGCTACAGATATGTGCGATGCAGCCATCCAGACATGCTCTCTACCCTCATCAGGCTTGTGACCTGGAAGCAAAGACGCACAGCTGTGAACGGGGTATCCACCTGTACCTACACAAGGACTCACCACCACCCCAGCCCCAAACACCAACTTGATCATTCTGATTTAAACATTCTTAGGCGTGGGGCCCAGGCATCAATACTTTGAAACAGCTTACCAAGTGCTTCCAATGTGAGGCCAGAGGCGACAGCCACTGGTTTGGACTCCATTGCAGAGGCCTGGGCCTGGCTCTGGGCATATTTAAGTGTGGTGAAGCACTTTCTGGTTGTCAGAGAACAAAGAAAACCCTTCCTTTGTTTCCTGCCTAGAAGAACCACTGGACTTTCTATCTAACCAGTGTCTTAGGGGTGGTTGATGAATTTAGGTGAAGCAGTAGGGGATGACAGCCCCGGCTAGGACACTGATAACCAAGTACTTACAAGGAAAGGGGTTTGCTTGGTTCCTTATGACAGGGACCCAAGGTCCACATTCTGAAATTCAGCCCCCCCTTCTGCCATAGAAAAGGAGAAAGACCAGTGACAGCACACACACCCCCACACTCTTTCCCATCACTCCACTCCATCTCACAATTACTGAATGCAGCTATCTGTTGGCTATGACTTCCCAGAATCCTTCCTGCCTTCTTGTGAGAACAGTACTCTAGGGTGTTCCTTTGGGAAGCTTCTTTCTGTATTGTTTTGTTTTTGCAGTGCTGGGAATTGAACCCAGGGCCTTGTGCATGTTAGACAAGTGTTCTCCCACTGGTCTACACCTCCAGCTCCTGGAAAATCACTCATAACCTAACTATGGCAGAACTACACTCCCCCAGCAAAGAGGTAGATGAAGGACGCAAGCCAATATCAGAGAATTTTTATCTCCACTACCTATGAGATCCACTAGGGCAGGGGTCATGTGCATCTCATTCACAGCTTTATGTACAGTGGATGTGCAGATGAACGGAGGATGGAGGGAGGGATGGCAGATGGATGGATAATTTCTAGATGGATGGATGGATAGGTGGGTGAATTGATGGGTAGATGAATGGGTGAGTAAATATATATGGATGGATGGATGGTGGGTGCATGGATGAGTGAATATTTGGATGGATGGGTGGGTGGGTGGGTGGGTGGGCGGATGGGTGAGTGGATGGATGGGTGGATGGATGGGTGAATGGGTGGATTGATGGGTGGGTGGATGGATGGGTGGGTGGGTGAATGGGTGAATGGATGGATGGGTGGATGAATGGGTAAATGGGTGGGTGGATGGATGGATGGGTGGATGGATGGATGGGTGGGTGAATGGGTAAGTGGATGGATGGATTGATAGATGGGTGAATGGGTGGGTGGATGGATGGATGGGTGGGTGAGTGGATGGATGGGTGGATGGGGTAGATGGATGGGCAGATGGGTGGGTGAATGGTTAGGTGGGTGAATGGGTGGGAGGGTGGATGGATGGGTAGGTGGATGGATGGGCAGATGGGTGGGTGAATGGTTAGGTGGGTGAATGGGTGGAAGGGTGGATGGATGGGTAGGTGGATGGATGGATGGGTGGGTAGGGAAATGGAGGAATGAATGTTTGGATGGATGGAGGGTGAGGATGTCTCTACTTGTGTGTATACAATCCTTAAACTTTTCTCTAAGTCTCCTCCTCCCCAAGGAGGAGGCCACGCAAATGCTAGGAAGAGAACCTAACCCCCTCCTCCGCCAAAATCTCTCCAATAGCAAGATAAGATAATACGGAGAAGATCACTTGACAACTGATCAAGCACTACAAAACCTTCAGCCATAGGAAGTGCTGCTTGGGACATTCTGAATAGCACTCTAGCTGCCTTGCTTGTCCCTTGCAACAGCACCATCTTCTCAAAGCTCCTAGGATTTGAAGTCTGCAAGCAATTGGAGACAGTTTGTGAGTTTTAAGCTGTGGCCGGAAGGTTGAGTAGAAGATAGCCAGAGAATAGTGAGGGAAGAACTGATAGATGGGGAAACATGTGCAAAGGTCCTGAGGCAGAACAGGGGGGAATATGAAGTTTTGGAGGACCCAAAAAGAGACTACAGTGGCAAGTGCCCAGGAGATGACTCTGGAGGGACCCACAGCTCTGCCCTCCTTTCCACATCATTTTATCTACCATTCGGACCTCTCCCGGGAAATCTAGTTCATATATCCAACTGCCAACTCAACATCTCCATTTGGGTCTCAAAGTAAATGTGTCCAAAACCAAACCCGGCTACCCTTTTCCACTCGTCCTCAGCTAACGTGTTGCCCATGCATGAATCCAGCAATCCTGCCAAAAACCAAGAAGTGGTCCCTGCTTCCTCCCCCTTTCCCACCCACAGGCTAACCTCAGTCATGGGCAGCTCTACCTTCAAACCATAACCAAACCCAGCCACTCCTCACCAGAGTCACTGTTCTTCCTGCCCCCATCATCCAGGGCCCCATCACCTCTCCCTGACTCCCATCGTACATTCCCCCAGACTTCCTGCTTCCGCTTTTGTTCAAACATGGGCCAGTCAGAGGATCCTTCAAAATACACATCCCATAAGCCTTCCAGTGGCTTCCCGTTATGTTTAAAAGGAAATACAAAGGCTGTGGCCACAGGGCCTTTTGTCAGCTGCCATCACCCAGCTCTCTAGGGGGTACCAAGTCCCTCCTTCCCTTGCTCCATCTGCCACAGTGAAAATCCACCTGCTATTGGGAACACCAAGCATGACCTGCCACAGGGCCTTTGCACCTGCTGTCTCCTCACCTTGCCCACTTCTCAGCTGAAGCATCGCCTCCCCAGAGACTCTCCATGCCTGTCCCAATAGGAATGGCTTCCCTGTCATCTCTGACTGCTCTGTGCTCCTCTTACCCCATAGATTTCTTTTATGTATATGTAGTTATCTGTTTTTGTCTGTCCCTTGACCTTAAATATGAGCTTTATAAACGCGGTGGGGGGAGTTGTCTTTTTTTTTTCTTAGTAGAGTATCTAGGGTGGCCAGGTTGAACAGATAAAAATATAGGACACCTGTTAAATTTGAATTTTAAAAACACTTTTAGTATATGTCCCAAATATTGCAAGGGGGAAGATGCAAGCTCAAAAAAATTACTTGCTGTTTATCTGAAATTGTAATTTAACTGGAAATCCTGTATTCTTATCTGACGAGACTGGCTGTACACCCAGTTCCTCCATAGAACCCAGGACATGGTCGGTACTTACTGAAAAGTAGCCACGGAGTGGACGGAGGATGGGGCAAGCACATCTGCGCCGAGAGACAGATCAGGAGAACCCGGCCCTGCTTGGCTGGGTTTCATGGGACCCAGCAGGACGTTGGGAAAATCGGTGGTGTTTTGTGTCCCAGCCCCTAGCTGGGTAAGTTCTTTCTACAAACATTTCATCGGACTGACTGGCTTCAGGGAACTTCTGCCTGCACGGATGGTTTCACAAGGAAAATGGAAAGACCATTATAGGTAGAGGAAAATGTCCGGTGGCAGACAACACCCCCTTCCAAGCTGGCCTCTCTGAAGGTCAGTGGCCTCTCAAGTGGAGGCCCGAGTGTGTGGCCA